TTTGTATGGAAAGGCAAATTACCTTGAACAGCTAAAAGAGTTTTGAAAAATAAGAATAAAATGAGAGGAATTACTCTACTCAAGGCTTATTATATAAGTATAGCAATCAAGAGTGGTATTCAGGGCCTGGGAATATAGATAAGTTTTCAGAGTGTTTGGCTTGCATGCACACAGCTCTGGGTTCAATCCCCAGCACCACACACACACACACACAAGAAGAGTGGTATTCAGGGGCTGTGGTTGTGGCTCAGTGTTGTGGCTCAGTGGTGAAGCACTTGCCTAGCATGTGTGAGGCACTGGGTTGAATCCTCAGCACAACATAAAAATAAATAAAATAAAGGCATTGTGTCCATCTAAAACTAAAAAAAAAATAAATTTAACAAAAAGTGGTATCACAGAGGGATAGACGTACACATTAACAGAACAAAATAGAGATTCTAGAAATAGTCCTACAAATAGCTCAACACAAATACATGAAAATAATTTTGACAAAGGTGTAAAAGCAATTCAATGGAAGACAGACAATCATTGTATTTTATTTTGTGGTGCTGAGGATTAAATCAAGGGTGTTCTACCATTGAGGCACATCCCCAATATTTTCTATTTTTTATACAGTGACAGGGTCTCATTAAGTCACAAAAGCTAGCTTGGAACTTGCAATCCTCCCACCTCTGCAGTCATTTTGTTTGAGTTACCAAATGTCTATAGGTAAAAATATGAACTTCTATCTCAGGTTCATGTCATATACAAAAACTAATTCAAAATGAATCATGGACTTAAATTTAAAATATAAAACTACAATCATTTTATTTATATGTTTAGGTAGTGGGTATTTAACCCAGAGGCACTTTATCATGGAGCTGCATCCTCAATCCTTTTGTGTGGAGGGTGGGGGGATAGGGAGATGTTACTGGGGATTGAACTCAAGGCACTTTGCCACTAAGCTACATCCCCAGTCCTTTATTTTTAATTTTTATTTTGAGACAGAGTCTCACTAAATTGCTTAGGGCCTTGCTAAATTACTGAAGTTGACCTCGGACTTCAATCCTCCAGCTTCAGCCTCTAGAGTTGCTGGGATTCTAGGGCTGCGACACCGTGCCCAGCTATCCACCCCCACCCCAATAGAAGGAATATTAGGGGAGTAGAGGAAGGGGATTGAGGGGGAAGGGAGTAAGGATGGAATGAATTTGACCAAATTATGCTGTGTACATATGTGAATATGCCACAGTGAATTTCAACTTTATGACTGTCTATAAAGCACTGATTTTAAAAAAAAAACTATAAATAAATAAAAGGAAGACTAGTAGAGTATACGAAGGGGAACAGGGGAAGGAGGAGGGGACAGAAGGGAAAGAGGAAGGACTAGGGACTAAAGTAGGGCAAACTATATTCCATGTGTGTATGATTATGTCAAAATGAACCACATTATTATGTATAACTATAGTGCACTAATAAAAACATTTTTTAAAAAAAGAAAATGAAAAGAGGCTGGAAATGTGGCTCTGTGGTAGAGTGCTTGCCTATCATGCGGAGGCCTTGTGTTAGATCCAAAGCACTGCAAAAAAGGGGGAGGGGGTAAAGAAGAAAAGACCAGTTGCCAGACTGGGAAAAACATTTTCAGATCACATATCTGACAGGGGACTTGTAATGAGAATATAAAGAATTTTCAAAACTTAACAGTAAGAAAAAATCCAATTAGAAAATGGGCAAAAGACTAGTCTTCCTTTTTATTACAGGCATGTGCCACTGTGGGGGGGCCTAAAATCTGGAATTTCGAGGACATCCAATTTATCAAGTTTTGTATTTATGTATTGCACTTTTTTTTTTTTTTTTTTTTTTTGGAGCTGTGGATTGAACCCAGGGCTCCGCACATTGAACCCAGGACTCCGGGCAATCTAGGCAAGCACTTTACTGCAGAACTACATCCCAGCCCTGTATTGTACTTTTTTTCTTTTTTGGTACTAGGGATTGAAGCAGAGACGCTTAAGCACTGTGCCACATCCCCAGTCCCTTTTATTTATTTATTTTTTTATTTAGAGACAAGTTCTCACTAAATTGCTGAGACTGGCTTTGAACTTGCAATCCTCCTGCCTCAGCCTCCTGAGTTGCTAGGATTACAGGTGTGTGCCACTGCATCTGGCTTGTATTATACTTTTGATGTCATGCCCAAGAAATTTTCATCTCAGGTGTTTCCTTCTAAAACAATTGTAGAGTCAAGCCAGGTGTAGTGCCACATGCCTGTAATCCCAGCAACTTGGGCAGCTGAGGCAAGAGGATCACAAATGAGCAGACATTTCACCAAAGAGAATATACAGATGGCAAACAAGCACACGCAAAGATGTTCAATATCAATAGGCATTAAGGAAAAGCTAATTAAAATGAGCTATCACCACACATCTATCAGAATGGCTAAAAGAAAAATATAGTGACAACACCAAATGCTGACAAAGATGTGAAAAAATTTATCTCTTATACATTGCTGGTGAGAATACAAAATGGAACAGCCAATCTGGAGAAGTTTGGCAGTTTCTTATAACACTAAACATATATTTGTTAACCAACCATCTAACATTAAATGTACACTTGTCATCTGGTCCAGCAATTGTATTCTTGGGCATTTGTCACAGATATTTACACAAAAATTTATATTTACACAAAAACCTCTAGTTGAATGTTCCTAGTAGTTTTATTCCTAATAGGCAAAAATTGGAAACACCCCAAATATCCTTCAATGGGTTAACAATGATACTGTGGTACATACATACCAAAGAATACCATTCAGCAATTGAAAGGAATGAACTATTAGAACATGCAAAAACTTAGGTGAATCTCAAGAAAATTTTGCTGAGTGCAAAAAAGCAGATTTTAAAAAGCATGCTTCTGTGAGGCTGGGGTTGTGGCTCAGCAGTAGAGCACTTGCCTGGCACGTGTCAGGCCCTGGATTCAATGCTCAGCATCACATGTCAATCAATAAATAAAGGTATTGTGTCAACTACAACTAAAAATATTTTTTAAAAAGCATGCTTCCATTTATGTAATATTCTTGAAATGAAAAATTTTAGAGATGGTGAACATGTTAGAGGTTGCCAGGGATTGAATAGGAAAAAGTGGTGAGTGTAACAATAAAGGATAGCAGGAGAAATCTTCATGGTAAAGGAATAGTTGATGTGGTGGTCATGTGAATTTACACATGATAAAATTGCATAGAACTATGTACATAGATTCAGAAATGAGTTCATGTAAAATTGGTGAAATATGAATAAACTCTGGATTATATCAATGTCAGATTTTGATATTGTATGATAGTTTATACATATAAGACTAATAGAACCACTAATACTAATATTACTAATTACTAATACTAATGTAATGCTAATACTACCACCAGGGGCTGTTGTAGGTCAGTGGTAGAGCGCTTTCCTTGCATGGGTGAGGCACTGGGTTCTATTCCTAGCACCACATAAAAATAAATAAATAAAAGTATTAAAAAATGGGAATGTTTATTTAAAAAGATAAATACCACTTGGAGAAACTGAGTGATGGGCACATGGGACCACTCTAATTTTTTTTTACAAGTACCATCAAATCTATAATTATTTCAGAATAAATAAAGTATAACAAAGGGAGGTAAGTCTGAAGGATTATGAATATTTTAGAACTCTCACATTTACCTATTATGTAATAGAACTATATCTTTAATATGGAAAATAGCTAAAATACAAAAAGCCTACATTATTGTTTATCCTAGAAATGTAAATGAAAATGAGTATATGAGTTCATCATAATTGGATATGGTACATTTCCAAACCCAGAAAGCTAAATAAAAAGGTTTGTTGCTAACCATTTATATCAGTCAGTATTCAATCAAAGGACCAGAACCAGTTTCAAATTACACACACACACACACACACACACACACACAACACTTCTCATTCATTTGTTCATTCACTTGAAGCTGCTGTCTTAGACACTTGGGATGCTGGCTAAGCAAACACTAAATCTGCAAGGTAGTCAGGAAGGAAAGATCATGGAGGAGGCTGGAACCAATGGGCACAGACCAAAAATCAGGATAGGTGAACTTTCTCTCTTACATTCTCAGAAACCTCAGGTTTTCCAACTGATTCAGTCATACTCATCTAGATCATCCAGGATAACCTTCCTTTAAATCAACTGATTAGGAGCTTTATGAAGTCATCAAAGCACTGCCCCAGCAATGCCTCCATTAATGTTTGAGTGCATAACCGGGAGTTGTAGGGTAACCAACTTGACACCAAAAAAGCCACACAACATAATAAACCATTTGTGCTTGCAACTGGATAAAAGTATCGTTAGCAGCCACCTTGGCTTTATTATTATAGGTTCTTCAGGCATAAACGATGTAAATCAATAGTGGTCGCCAAGTTCATATATAAAGAGTTCCACTTATAGAACTTTAAAAGGGGCCACGAAAAGCTTGGTTTGTATTTCGACACAGCCAAGACGCCTCCACCTGGTCCTCTCTAGCGCCTCTTGGGGCAAGGGTTCCTAGGGGCGGCAGCGCGCCCAGCAGGAGGGGAGGGGAACCCACCTGGAGAAAAGCGTCGCGGGTGCGGGAGCTCTAAGTGGGCGGAGCGTCGAAGCCGGTGGCTTGGAGACGGCGCCCAGCCCGCCAGAAGAGCGCGCGGCGGGCAGACGGCGGG